GATCTAAAGCTAAAGAACCAGTCAAGATGTGACCGATATATCACATCCTTGCAGCAACTGAAATTTTTTTATGTTCTTGCAAAAATAAATATGATTTTAAGTTGGAAAGCAAAATAGAGAAGAAAGCTGTGGATAAATGGAAGGATGAGAGAAAGAGAAAAAATATCTATGATATAGAATTCCAATATGTAAGGTCTATGAGTGATCTCATAAAAGGCAGTGTAATAAAGCATCAATACTGATTCATCCATAATTAAATGACTCTTCTTATAGAACATTTTATAGTAGAACATTATAGAATAAAACAAAAAAAATAAAGAGCTTCGAGACAATAAAGACTGAGAAAATTGACTCAAGAACAAATTTCATTACTAAGCTCCGTTGTAAAATTTGGACCTAAACATTAAAGTAAGAAGTGATGGGAACGATGGAAACTGTGAATCCAAAAGATTTTATTAAAATGAATCTTAATGATTCGCCGGTCGGGATGGCGGAACAAACCGGAGACCAATTCATCTATTCTGAGAAGTAACGAGATAATCCTAAAATTGAAATGGAAGAGTAAATATTCGCCCGCGAAAACTTTCTTTTTTAAATTCCTAAATTTGAACGATAAAAAAAAAAAAACAATTTATAAAAAAATAACAATATGATTTCTAAAATCAAAAATCTACTAAAACAAGATACACAAATTACTTATATATTAGATGAAATCTCAAAGAATCCCACGATTCAATATATTAAATTTAAAAATACATGTCTATTTTATTAATTAATGAAAATTGTATCTTACCTCAAATTCAAATTTTTTATTTTTGAATCCTTTTATTCAAATTCGCGAGGAGCCAGATGAGAAGAAATTCTCACGTCTGGTTCTGTAGTAGAGATGTAATTCAGAAAGAACCATCAACTATAACCCCAAAAGAACCAGATTCCGTAAACAACATAGAGGAAGAATGAAAGGAATATCTTATCGAGGGAATCGTATATGTTTCGGTAAATTTGCTCTTCAGGCACTTGAACCCGCTTGGATCACATCTAGACAGATAGAAGCAGGTCGACGAGCAATGACACGAAATGTACGCCGTGGTGGAAAAATATGGGTACGTATATTTCCAGACAAACCGATTACAGCGAGACCTGCCGAGACACGTATGGGTTCGGGGAAAGGATCCCCCGAATATTGGGTAGCTGTTGTTAAACCGGGTCGAATACTTTATGAAATGGGTGGAGTAACAGAACATATAGCTAGAAGGGCTATTTCAATAGCAGCATCCAAAATGCCTATACGGACTCAATTCATTATTTCGAGATAAAGGATAAATAAAGTAGAACCAATAGAAATGAGTCTTGGAAAATTGCAATTTTTTTATTTTAGACAAAGAATATTTCTTTTTTTCTTCGTCCTTTGCATTGAAAGAACAGATTTCAAAATGATATGATTCAACCTCAAACCCATTTAAATGTAGCAGATAACAGCGGGGCTCGAGAATTGATGTGTATTCGAATCATAGGAGCTAGCAATCGTCGATATGCTCATATTGGTGATGTTATTGTTGCTGTGATCAAAGAAGCAGTACCAAATATGCCCCTAGAAAGGTCAGAAGTCGTCAGAGCTGTAATTGTGCGTACCTGTAAAGAACTCAAACGTGACAATGGTATGATAATACGATATGATGACAACGCTGCAGTTGTTATTGACCAAGAAGGAAATCCAAAAGGAACTCGAATTTTTGGCGCGATCGCCCGGGAGTTGAGACAATTAAATTTTACTAAAATAGTCTCATTAGCTCCCGAGGTATTATAAGATCGTGATATGTTTAAAGCGGGGTATTTTAGATTAAGAAATAGATTGTATCTCACGTATATACCTTTATTAATTACTCATAAACAAACAAATTAAGTAAAAAAAAAGAAAAGCATGTTGATTATATCAAATTTTGAGTCACTAACAATTATAGTTAATCATGGGTAGGGACACTGTTGCTGAGATAATAACCTCTATACGAAATGCTGATATGGATAAAAAAAGAGTGGTTCGAATAACATCTACTAATATTACCGAAAATATCGTTAAAATACTTTTACGAGAAGGTTTTATCGAAAATGCGAGAAAACATCGAGAAAACAACAAATATTTTTTGGTTTTAACGCTGCGACATAGAAGGAACAGGAAAGGGCCCCATAGAAATATTTTTAATTTAAAACGGATCAGTCGACCCGGTCTACGAATTTATGCTAACTCTCAACGAATTCCTCGAATTTTAGGTGGGATGGGGATTGTAATTTTTTCTACTTCTCGAGGAATAATGACAGACCGAGAGGCTCGACTAGAAGGAATCGGTGGAGAAATTTTGTGTTATATATGGTAATCTTTTTAATATACAAATTAGATTCGAAACTTACTATTTTTAATTGTAAAAAAAAAAAGAAAAGGAACGAGTTGTCTAATATTGTTCCTCCTCCATTAGTTGATACTTCAAGGGGGCTTTACCTGGAATGAAAGAACAAAAATGGACTCATGAAGGTTTAATTTACCGTAACAAACTGGTAAATAGAAGGAACTGAACAAGATATACAATACCACAAACTAATTTTGTAACTTATCATATTCAACTAATGAGACTGATCCAATACTAAAAGGCCAAACAAACTTACAACTGAAAAACTATCGCTAACATATGAAACACAATAAAAGTTAGGGAGAAAAATTGCAGCGCATACTGAAGGACTGGAGAGAGTGACCTGAAATTGAATCAACTACTGAATGGAAGTCTATGAATGCTAAATAAGAAGCTTTTCTGCACCAATTGTTTCACAGTGCAATTAAACCCCTTGTGGAAATTTGGCAACCAAAATACAAAGTATACAGATTATCCAATCTCTTTAATACTAGTAGGGAAAAAAATTAGACATAGAAAATGAGTAGTAGTTACCTTTAGTAGGAAAGGTTGCAAAGGAAAAGGAGGAAGAAGCGTGGAGTTTTTTGTGAGCAGTATTTGTGTTCCTAATATATAAACACACAAGCTTTGTGAGTTGTTAAAGATTTTTCTTTCACTGTTGAAAATTTGCCTACTGGCCAACAAAAGGAAAGCAAAAGGACAAATCTATATCCCTAACAATGCTATTAGCCATCATGAACACACTAGATAACGACACAAAGTTGATGAATTGTTAGTGATTTTTCTTTCAATCTTGATAGTTTCTCAACTGGGGAACGAAATGGAAGACAAAAGGAAAAGGAAGACAAAAGGACAAACCTATATCCTTAGTAAGGAATAGAAATCATACTTTATACTTGACTCTTTAAGGAACAATCTCACGGTTGGGATATGGATGAGCCACCATAATTTATGGGAAAAAATTGCCAAATTGTTGGCCAAGTGGTGGAGGAGTTCAAGTGGTATTTTTGTTCTTTGAACCAAAAGGAAAAGAAAGTCATCATTTAGGGGAAAAACCGTCAATTCGTTGACCAACTGTTGGCGAAGTTGAAGTGGTACTTTTCTTCATCCGAACCAGAAAGAAAACGAAGAAAGAATGGAATCGGAAACAGAGAGAGAGCAACATAGGAGAAAAAGTAGAGCTAAACATGAAGATAATGAAATCTACAAGCATATTTGTTGTGGTCAAAGATGAGATAAAGTGTGATTCGAAATCACAAAGGCAAGCGTAATTTAGGCGAAAAACTCATCAAATTTTTGACCGTTTGTAGCGGTAGCTTAGCTGCTATCATGCTTCTTCTGAAGTAGAAAGAAAACGAAGCGGAAACACTACCAAAAAGAGGACAAGAATGGTAGGCAAAAAGTCAGAAACACCCCTAAATAGTTGGCTACTGTTTTGAGAGCCTTTTTTCCCACTGGACAGAGTAGTAATTTTATCTAAAAAGACAAAAATGTCCTCAAGAATGACGTTCTGTTTGGAGAAGTAATCAATATTCCCAACGCATAAACGGAAGCAAAATTTTCTTAGCTCCCCTTCTGCTGCCACGTAGATCAATTTGAGCATAGAAGCCTTAGGTTTTTCTATATATGTAAGGTATGAAATTAAGAAAAAATTAGCAGACTTAAGTGATAAACGAAGTTACCCAAAAAAAAATTGCACTTCTACCAAAATGTGAAAACTTTGTATATTGTGATTCGGTCGAAAGAGAGCTATTTTTCTCCCTTCAAATTAGGCACTAAACATGATAAAATCTAGAATTTGGCTCCATCTGAAAAGACATAATTCTCTTCATTCTTCACTTTTGAATTGTAAGGAGAGGTCTCATTTTGGAGGTTCTTTTCATCCAACTAGAAATATCCTAAGAACAAACTATTACTAAGAGGATATAGAAGTTTGACTAACTCCAAGATTAGATGATGCAAGTTTTTAGGTTGTTTGACCTTTGTCAAAGTGGTAGAGTGCTTATTAAGTCGAGTGCGAAGGCAAAGGATGCAATGCAAATGAAGTGTAATTTTGAAAAGGGAAAAGGGACCAAATAGAAAAGAAAAATAAAAGAACAATTGTTGGCTTAGTAAGGCAATATTTTGAAACATATGAAAGTTTAGTCAAGTAATTGAGTACAAGTATGAAGAATTTGATTATTTCAAAGTAGAGACAAGAAGAAATATTTGGGAGGTTAATGAAACTTGTTTTATTGGTTTGAGTATTTATATCCATCTTCAATCCTATAATATTTGGAAAAGCATCTAATAGTTTTCATTATGCATACATGTTATCTTTGTCGATGGTATTTAACTACAACTACTAACATTATGGGAAAGGGGTTAGGTTCGATCAGAATTTGGAAGGGATTAAATCACCTTCAAACCAGTTAAATATAATCTATACTTGCTTGTGAATCTAAATCTTAAATATGAGAGATAAGAGTTAACCGGCCGTACCATTTGACAGCCTATTCACAACTAGTCATTTGGCGGCTTTTTTTTTTTTCTTTTTTCCAGCCATCACATATTAATTGTAGCTATCAGTATCAATACTGATTTCTAACACCAATTTTCATTTTAAGACTTCCAGGTGAAGCGGTGCAAAGGAAAAAAGCACCAAAAGTTTAAAAACTTTCAAGTACTATCTCGAATCTGGAAAATAGTTGGAGACTATCCATGAAATTTTCCCAGAAAACGAATCAAAGAAGTTCAGCAGAAGACAAGAAAGTGCTCAATAGTTCTGATTCATTGATTTCTCCTCCTCCCCTCCTCCAAAAACAATAAAAAAAAAATCCCACTAATTAGACCTTCCATTTGAAGCCCACCGCGATTTTCTCAAGTATGTTTTCTCTCTCTTTTCTCAATTGATCTGCTTTTGGGTCTCTTTACTTGGTTTTATTTAAAAATCTAAACCAATATACAGACGGGTTTAAAAGGAATTTTCTACCTTTTTATGTTTTGTTTTGTTATTTTTCAGAATTCAAATGTGGAGTTATTGGGTTTAGTGTTAGTTGTTAATTTAATTCATGTCTGAATTGGTTTAAACCCATTTGAGCTTTGATGAATTGGGCTCTTTTTTCTTTTTCAGGTATAATCAGCATCGCAATGGATGAGTTTGAATTTCGACGTATTCTGAGCTCTTCCCAATTGTCCGACCTCGTGATTATTGCGTAAACTGTTTTTTCCTCTTCTTCTGTGATAATGTTTCTTCATTTTGGTTATTTTAACCTTTGAATTCTGCAGTTGTCGTTGGCATGATTTATGTGGATGTCAAAGATGAGATTTTTTCTTTCGTTGGTTCAAAATTATGGACGATGACTATTAACATAACTGGAATTAGTTACCAGATTGATTAAACTAAAACTGTGTTTCTAGTTTAAATTCTCAACATGAAGTAGCAATGTGGCTTCCCCCGGACAAATTAAGATTTAAGATGGAGTAAAAATGTGGCTGCCTAGGTGGGATTTTTCTTTTTTTTTGTGGGGTGTTTGGTCAGTTATTAGATGAAAAGAAATTAAAACTTAAATTTTTGTTGCTTCTCCAAAATGTGTAATTGCTTGCAATGTTGGATTAATGGTGCTGAAGAATGTTACAGAAGATAGAAAGAGATTTAGCATTATCCGACCATGTTTTGTAATCCATTTCTTTCCCTTAGACTGTAAGGAATGACCTGAACAGATTTTGAGTGGTATAAGAGGATACATGTGTTTGAGATAATGGAACGAGACTCTTGTTCAGTCAAGTTCAAATTTTTTTGGGTGGATGCTAAACTGTAATTTTTTTGATTGTTTTTCCAAGATACCAGTTTTAGGCAAAAGAAGTTATTACATATGGAGAGGCACTTATATGGAGCTTTGTGTCTTTTGTTATGATCTGTTGCAATATTATTTTTGGTTTGTACATGGTATTATTGTCCTTGAGGGAATTTAGTGACTTGTCTATTTAGTAGTATGGTTAATATGATATTTTTGTATAGTTAGAAAGTTCACAAACGTGCATACACAGGATTTTTATTGGACGCTTGTTCATTGAATTGCCAAAAGTTGATAATACACTTTTTTTAATTCAAATTTATCTTGGTTCAGCTTGATGTGGAATCTTCGGGGCAATCAACTTCTCAGTCTAAAGGGAATAAGAAGGTTCTACATCTTTTCTTCAGTTTACTATTGAATGCTTATGTTCCACATTGCAGCACGCTAACACTAAACCTCATAGGTAACTAAACTGCTGGATGGGGACGAAAAAATCAGTATAGTCCACTTCAAAGCCATGGTATGTATCTGTAGTTCTTATTTTTATTTCGTTCAAGGTTGATTAATGTTACAAACGACAAATAGGAGTGAGTGAGTATTCTCTTCTTCCTCCCTATTTCCATCCCAACACCGCCCCCCCCCCCCCCCCCCCACCAAAAAAACAAAAAAAAATGTAATAGTTTGTCAGATATCACTGGTAAAACCTATAGGTTGATAACAAAGCAGTTCAATCTTCAAGTTGTAGGGCTATCTTTTTCTTATCTCCATTTATCAGGTTCTGAACATATACAGTTTGGGCATCTCAGAGAAAAACAGCTTTTAATCCACATTGTCCCAGTTAATAACTTTGAACTGAAAACTGATCCAGAGGCAGATTGCAAACTTGCATACTCTGTATTTTCAAAGTTATAAGGAGACTTGTTTTCATGGCTAATAGTCAACCATAGCAGCTAGATGGTTATTTTCCCATCTCCTTTTTCATCACTTAATTTCATGTGCACAGAAGCTGCAGTAAAATCATGCTTGTCTTTCTTTTTTTTTTAATTAAAACTTTGCCTCTTGAAGCAGTAAATCGGAACCATGACTGAGAAACGGGATACAGAATGCAAAATGTATTTTCCTTATTGTTGTTGATATGAAAATCAATTTTTTAAATTATGTTTCTGCATTTCAACAGATTCATTCTGGACAAATTGAAGTCGGCTGCTGAGAAGAAGGTATGCTTTGTTGCATCCATGACTTTTGTTCTTAGTTAAAGAGTAATGTAGGGCATTCATTCTTAAGTATGAAATGAAAATCAGTAAAAGGGGAGAAAAAAAAAGTAATGGCATGAAACTTCGTAGTAACGCTAGTTTGGGTTCCTGCTTCCATCACCAATCCTTAAAACCTGCCTTTCCATTTTTAAGTAGACTTCTCCCTAATCATGTTTATGATTATTCTATTGGCTTGCTTTGCATATATAAGGTCCTTGATACATTTTACTTACTATGGTAAATATACAATGCAGTTTTTTCTGCTCCTGAAGGCATTCTTGAACCATGTCGATTGTGATACAAATTGTGATGATTGTGAACAACGTAAACAATTTCTGGAATTTCTTTTCCTTTTTCGTTTACTCCTCATAAATCATAAGTATAATTTTATTGGTCAAGATAATGTTCATAAATGTATGTGTCTTGAGTTGGGCTTAAGTTAACATTCTGCTTAAGTTCACTTGCAATATAATTATATTCAGAGGTTTACCTACGTTGACATTCTGCTTTATACACTTGATGAAATAAGATAAATACTTAAAACTGTCAGTAGTCACCTAGTAGAAGCTCAAAAGGTGTGCACGAAGCAATGAAAAGTGATCCATTTAATCATCAGTTGCATTAGGGTTGAAACTTATCGTCAGTTAGAGCAAAACAAAAGAGTGATGCTCCTCAGCTTCTGATGTTGTGGGATCATGTGAAGAGCTAAATGTGTATAGGTCTTGTACATCCATGCTAAATGTATGCAATCTTGTATCTCTATGTTTTTAGAAGCTATGTTCCTTTCAGAGTAGAAATATGAGAGGAAAGATGGTCCAGAATTTATTGGTGCATGAATGGGCTAATCCAAACATCAGAAGATACATTAACAGAATTAGTTTCGAAATGTCCTGAGCAAAATGCTAGTATACTTCAAAAAATAAATAATAATACCAATAAATAAATAAAATGTTTGCCTGCAGTTTCTCCTTGTGGCTTGAGTTAATACCGGATCCTCGCTCTAGGAGGTGAGACACAGAATGCTTTTTAAAAACTGGTTAGAAGAGATAAGCCTAAATAGAGGATTCATAGGACTTCAACCAAAATGGTTTTTTCAGAAATGGGATAGTAGAGCTCAAATGTTCACTCATGCATTTGTTCTTGCTGAAGGAGAGCTCATTTGGTCACTGAATCAGATAAAAAAAAAAACAGTGCTGTTGCTCTACAAAAATCATAACGGAATACCACAGTGTGGAGAATATCCATCTCTCAAGTACAACCATGAATAAACTGGAAGATGTTGTTCTGAAGTATCTGCTTGTCTGTGATGGTGAAAAGCTTCACTGCAAATGTATTCTCAGCTTCTTGATTTTCTTTTCCTTTGTCCAATGTAGTTTTATTTTTTCTGATTTTCTTACTATCATATAATTACTGTGAATGGTAGACTCTGAATCTTGCTGGGTTAGACAAACTATGAGAAGAGTTTAACAGGATCTTTTTAGTCTTGAAAGTAGAGAAGGAAATTTTGTATATGTTGGACATGGCTTACCAGCTCTGTTTATGACTTCTGTAAGTCTGGTTGAAATGCACTGTGAATTCTGTTAGACCTGACTACTAAATTTATTCACTGAATGGACCTTTGCATAGCTTGGACATTAGACATGACTAGTTTTCTTAATGGCTTCGACAGTCTGGTCATAAATGCAATGTGAGTTAAGGTGATCTGAAGGGAAAGAATTCATTGGAATAGAGGGCAGATGTGAGACATATGGGTCTGGTGGTTTAAGGTTGTGTGGATTCTGGATAACAAGTGGGTAAAGAGGGACAAGTTTGTGCATTCATTACAAGTTATATGATCCAAAGTGATTGAATACTCTTATATAAGCTTCAAACAATACAACAAGTAGCTTGTTTAATTGCTGTACAGCAGGTTTTAGTGAGTTGATATTTCTAAGACCTATTTCTTATTTTATTGATGGTATTATGATGCATTCGTGCTGTTATTGCATGTTGTATATGTTTTGGTTTCGGTGGTGCTCAAATAGGCTGCTCTATGCATACTCATGTAATGTGGCCTGTCTATCACCTATTTATTACATATCTCAATGTTTAGTGCATGCTTGTTGTGTAACCTAATTGTATGTATTACGTGATTGGCCTGCCAATTGAGAAAATGAAGAAAAAAAATTAATACCATTGTGGTTAGGATTATGACTTGTACACTAACTTTGGGAGGTTTCAGGGGAATGATACAACCAGAATGGCCAAGTCCTTTTTAACTATTATTTTGATGCGTAACAGGTTGGTCCAACCGAGGCAGAAAAGATTTGCAAGGCATTTCAACAAGTTTACAAGAGAGTTGTAAGGATATTAGTCTATGTTTAGCACCTTTTTGAAATCACTGTCTGATCTTTTTCTCCATTTCTTATTGCTAAGGGCCTTGGAGCAAGTGACTTCCTCTTCCTCTACGTTGGTCCATATACAACCTTGCATAACCAAGTTCTGTTATCTTTCAGGTATATGAAGAATTGAGTTTAGAAGCTGCTCAGAAGATCATAAACTCTTCAGGAAATCCCAAAATTTAGAATCCAAGTCTGTCTTTTCACTAGGCAGGAGAAGGTTGTAAATCAATCGATGTGACCCAGGATGCGTGCAAGATCTATATAGAATTTTTCTAGCTTTGCCAAAATTGATGAACAAGATTCGCGCGCAGGAAATTGATGAAGTCTTGCTTTTGCTTAGTCCACTGTGTAGTGATTTCTGTATGGTTTTTGGTTTAACGAAGTATATCGGTGCTGCCAAACATAAAGACTTGTAAGAAATACAATATGGTGAATGAAGTGAATTTTGTAGAGTTGCTGGTGATGGTGTAGGTTTGGAAGAAGTCTTATTGTTCCCCCACACCATTGTTGTATTTGCTTCTGTAATTTGGTAATGTCACCTATTCTGCCTATTTAGGAACTTATAACCAGTGTGCTTCGACTATAACATAGTTGGATGCAATTAGTTTCAGTAGTGGCTTTTACACATTATAGTCTTGGAAGGCTAATACAGCACCATCCAAATGGCAAATTTAGAACCAAAAAAAAAAGGTGGAGGCTTATGGAACAATTCATCTCTCAGTTTCATCAGAAACTTTGAATCAGTATACATAATGAAGTTCCTTAAAGAAGGCTTCTTGATGATTCCCATTCCGTTGCAGGATCATCAGTTTTCCTGTGCTGGTCAAATTGAATCAACTTCATTCAGATTTATTGCTTGCATGTAATATAATTATACAAAGACTTGGAAAGAAAGCTTAACCCTTAAAAAAACCCCAGATCAGTAACCAAAAAAAAAAAAACTTGGTCAAAAACAGCATTAAATCCTCAACAATGAACGTTTGAACTTGAAGTTTGGCGACAACAAGATCTAGATTCCATCAAAGTCCTCATCATCGAAATCGAGACAACCATGGCAAGCACAACAGACAAGATCATCCTTCACGATACCTGCAGGCAACTGCCCTAATTTCTGCAAGCTCCTGGCCTCATCCGCCATGTACTTGTGGATCACGTCAGCCTTGTCGTCCTGGTACTCGCGAAGGCCAACGAGGACAATGTCTCCGGTAGCAATCCAAACCTTCTTCTGCATCTTTCCCCGGATGTGACAAAGCCGCTTAGTCCCGTCAATGCACATGGCTTCGCACCACCCATTGCGCAGCATCTGTTTCACCTGGGCATATTCTTGACCTTCTTCTTTGAGGACCAACTCTCTCTTCTCGTCATCCTCGCCTTCGTTCTTCCCCTTCTTCCTATTTTTTCCACTTTACCTTTGTTCTTCGGCATCCTTTCTTTTTCTTCTTCTAAAACCCTAGCAATATATAAAACAAAAGTCAGGACAAAAAAAGAAGAAGAAGTTGCCTTAGGATGCAAGAAAGATATATGAGAAAGAAGATTGAAAATATATGAAGTTTAATTCGAACCAACAGAAAGTAGTGATTAAAAATTGAAGATTTTTGCCCTACCAAATTAATTTCCAAGTAAGGATTTTATTACTTTAGATGAATCTCTGAAGCTGATACGATTTGATTATTGAGAATCGTTTGTTTGTTAGAAGGTTTGCAACAAAAAAAGGAAATAAAACGATGGACTAAATGCCTAATGTTAAGCAGCCAACTTATGCATGGACTACAAGGCACAGGAAGTAATATAGTATTGAGTACAATTTTGTGGGGGCCGCAGGGTTAATGGGGCTGGGGATGGGGTGGCGGTAAAATGCT